CCCATCCACCCCCAACTTCTAACTCCCCCCGAGGAGTTGGCTGGGGCTGTTTGGGAAGCTCCGCTCCCGTAGCGTCGAGGCAAGGGGCTTGTCCAGGCGACCGTTTTGGAACAGCAGAGACCAGTTCAGCGCCCTGCCCTGCCCGACATCCCCGCCTGCCCGCGCACACAAGCCAGGAGCCAGCAGGAAGACCGAGGCCGGAGCGGGATGTACTGGCACCTGTTCCTGACGCTATCTACCAGTGGCGTTTATGGGGAACATCGGAACAAACCAGCAGCAAAACGCAGCTGCGGCGCAGCCGCCACGAGCACCGAGACCGCACAGCTCTTTCCCAGAGACGCAGCCCTGCGACTCAAATTGCTGATGGGGTTTTGCTGTGCTCCCCTCGCCCCCTCTTCTGACTCCCCAAGGCTTCCCCATCACTTCCAGACTTCGTAGGGCAGTGTTACTGAAGGAAGGAGCTGTGACTAAAGGCACCCCAGCACACCTTCGTGGAAGCACTAGTAAACTGGTGTTTCTACAAACCACACCGAGGTGCCTCCCTGCCAAGCAGCCGCCGTTCCCTCACTGCCAGCAAGCCTCCCCAAAAATCAAAATGACCTGCTCCTCCACAGCCCTGTCCTGGGTTTTCTGCTCCGCTTGCCTCTAGCCCAGTTATAAACGGGAAGGAACACATCTGGAAGCACGTCGTCTGGCTAACAGAATTGTATCTGCAGGAGCTATGCGTGTATAGAGAGAAAGAGCTGCCAACGCCCAGGCTCAGCCGCGTTCCCTGTCCCCCCACGACCCCGCCATTCAGCGAGACACCGGCTCAGTGTCTGGCAGCGCCCAGGGCCGTGCTGCCCAGGGTGCCCAGCCCAGCCCAAGCCAGGCTCAGCCCGCAGAGCTGTACTCCCTTGGGTAGAGCACTGCCGGCCGCAGGCACCGTGGAGCGGACGGTCCCCGCACCCCGCGGATCTAAAAGCATAACTGCATGCAGCCAGCAGGAACAGGGCACGCGGTGAAACTGCGCGGCGAGCGAAGGAACACGTACGGCGCACGGGGGTTCCCGGGCAGGACGAGTGGCACGGGCGCCAGACTCGGCCTGGCGGGAAGTCTTCGTGAGCAGCGCGTTTTACGGGAAACTGGCTTTAGCCCTGGAACGGCTGAAGGACGGCGGGAACCGGGGTTTGCTGAGAACCCTGTCAACTGCAGAAGGGACGCAGAGCGCCAGCCACCCGCCCGGATCCCCATTTCACCCTGGGAAGAGCAGCGAGGGGCGACCTGTGGTGTCAAGCAGCGGAGGGGCTTTTCTCCCACCAAACCTTAATCGAGACGCCTCTTCACTACAACCCGGACATGGAGTAGTACAGCAGCCACTCCACCTGCCTGTGACCATCCCAGATGGGGAAACGTCAGGGCGAGGTGACTCCGGACCGTGAGCCTGGAGTGCGTGAAGACCCCTGTGCCCTCCGGGAAAGAGCCACTTTTCAGGAACATTCCAAAACACAGCAACTCCTTTTTCTACGCTGAGAGGAACTTCAGAAAAACTGGTTTTCAGGAGAATATGGCTGATGGCAGGGAGCAAGAGAGCGATGCTCTCGGCAGCACCCAGATCTCGGTAGTGAAAAAGCTGACAGTAACCAGGGAAACTCCAGGGAAACCAGTCTCCTGTGATGAAAGGCTGAGAGTTGGGGGTGTTCAGCCTTGAAAAGAGAAGGCTCCGGGGAGACCTTACTGCAGCCTTCCAGTGCCTGAAGGGGGCTACAAGGAAGCTGGGGGGGACTTTTCCCATGGGCAGGGAGTGACAGGACAAAGAGTGATGGGTTTAAACGGAAAGAGGGAGATTGAGATTGGACATCAGGAGGGAATTCTTCCCGGAGAGGGTGGTGAGGCACTGGGACAGGTTGCCCAGAGAAGCTGTGGATGCCCCCTCCCTGGAAGTGTCCAAGGCCAGGCTGGATGAGGCTTCGAGCAACCTGGTCTAGCGGAAGGTGTCCCTGCCCATGGCAGGGGGGGGGGCTGGGGGGGGTTTTAAAGTCCCTTCCAACCCAAACCGTTCCATGATTCTGTGAAACACCAGAGACAGCCGTGTCGCAGAAAGGAGAAATGGTATTTTGTTAACAGGCAGAAATGGATTTTGCTAACCCATTTGGGGTTTGAATCTACACAACTGGTGGCAGATCAAAGAGCACGGAGTAGTGCTTGGAATTCCTCCCCACCCCCTGTTGTGGTTTTGGGGTTTTTTTGCTTTACTTTGGTTGTAAAGAAAAAGAGACTCCATGCCATTTGGAGAGAGCAGCCACCTGGAGGATTACGGAAGCGGACAGTAGGCACCACACGAGCTTTTATCCTGCTGTGCTGAAGATTCCATTAGCTGGACGCCCCGTTTTGCTCTGCTTTTATCCCAAAGCCCTGGGGTCTGCAGAATCTTTATGGCAAGTTCCTCAAAGGCATGTTGCACTCCATCCTGCGTCTTGGCACTGGTCTCTGGTGGAGGGGAAAGAAGGGGCAGGGGGAGGGGGAAGTATTTTATCTCAGTTGCAGGGAGTATTCTGCTTCGTGGGGAGTTTTTCTGGGACCAGAGAGAAGATCTAGTTTCCTTCAGGAGCCAACCTCCCTAAAAGCAAACTTCGACTGGATGTGATAAACAGAAATGCATCCCAGTCACATCTCTTTTTTCCACCTAAAAAAATTCCACAGCTTCCCATTCTCTCCATAACGGAGCAACAGGAATTGTCCTCAGGTTGGGGTAGTAAATCTACAAGATAATGATTCCACAACTAAGCTGGGAAGCAAAGTGCAGAAGGAATGGCAAGTTTTCCCCTACGCATTTGTTCCAGTTTGCTCTGGAAACCTTTTTCAAGAAGGTTCACCTAAAAGGTATTCAAAAACCCCAAACCACATCCCAGAACCCCAAACCCCACACAGCTAGTTCCCTGCCCTGGCATCTTCGCATTGCACGTTTTACTGCTGGTCTGAGAATACTGGGTTTTAACGCAGCTGCGCCAGAAACCCAGCAACAGAAAGATGGCCCAAGGTCCTTGGTGACATCAGTCAGGAGAAAAATTCCAGTTTTCTAGGTTCCGAGTTAAAAGAAGCCCCACTAGTTTCAAGAGACTACAAAATCCACGCCTCCAGGGCACGCGGGGTCCATCTCTTTCAAAGCACAGTACTTCCGACTGCAGCCAGCACCGAGTGCCCCTGGAAGAAAGACCTACACGCACGCAGCTGAAGGGAGAACAAGGAATTCGGGCTGTCAAGGCAACACTGCTGTTGGCTTCACTCCTGCCTAGCAAGACCCCACTACACACGGTGTGCAGGGCTTCAGCACTCAGTTCCATACCTATGAAAAGCAGCGAGTGTTTCCTAGCAAACTGGAGTCCTTCTCTTCTCTCCACTTCGCGATCCGGCTGCGGAGACAAATAAAGAACATGACTACAACAGGCCACGCTGCACACCTGGAAAAGCACCACTGCAGCAGTGAAGTTTTGCTGAAAAGAAGGTCTGTAAGACTACAAAGTAACAGCAACTGGATTTTCCCACCCTCCAGACAACTTCCCGATAGGCTGAGGGGGGGTCAAAATGAACAGTGGCAAAATCCAGTCAGTAGGTGATGAATGCGTTGCTATCCTCAGAATCAACGAGGAGCAAGATCCACACCAGAAAGGGGGTGTCAGTAGGCAAACAGCTGAAAAGGCACATCAAAGGATCTGAGAATGGCCAGAATCACAGAATCACAGACTGGTTCGGGTTGGGAGGGACCTTAAAGCCCACCCAGTCCCACCCCCTGCCATGGGCAGGGACACCTTCCGCCAGACCAGGTTGCTCGAAGCCTCATCCAGCCTGGCCTTGGACACTCCCAGGGATGGGGCATCCACAGCTTCTCTGGGAACCTGTCCCAGTGCTCCCCATCCTCTGCGGGAAGAATTCCTTCCCGATATCTAATGTAAACCTCCCCGCTTTCAGAAGAGAGCCTAGTTCAGGGCAGCCACACTAGAAACCTCTTGCAGTGAAACATCCAACTATGCAGCAGGCACCTCAGACACATCAACACACAGCACCCTGCGCCCAGCCCCTTCCCCAGCTCCCCAGAAGAGTCTGGTCAGAAGGGGAGCAGCAGTGACGCTGCTGCTCCGCGGTTAACCCCAACGGCAACGGCAGTTCCTAGGCAGAACTCTCGCTCTCCTAAAGACCCATCAGCTGCTCCAGCAGAGTTTCCACCACAGTCATGACCCTGATATGTGCCAGGAGCGAGGCGGCAGCGGAGCCCGCTTAGCCCTCGTTCCCGCGCAGGGGTGCTCGCGTCGGCACTTTGCGCACATCCGCGCCGTCAGGACCGAGTAACCTGCGGAAGGGCACAAGAGGGTGCATTTCTAAACTGACCTTGTCGGTTTTATTGCCAACCAGCATCTTCACAGCGTTGCCATCAGTGGAATACATTTCCAGCTCACTCAGCCAGCTCTCCAGTCCCACAAAAGTGTCTTTTCTTGTGACATCATACACTAGTAACGGAGGAAGAGGAGAGAACAGCTGTAGTCTTGAACGATGTTTACTTCATTATGATAGAACTAGCTGACTACGCTCCCCCCACCCCACGAAGTGCAGCATTAGGGAGTTACGGAAAGACGCCTCAGCCGTATTCTCTTCCCAGAGCTGGAACACCCTGACTGTGCTCACACCAAGTCACCAGGGAGCACGGAACACGAGCACCTCTGCAGCAGCAATCGCATACCCATTACTATTCTGGATGGGCCACGGGGAGTATTTTAAAGTAAGAGGTGTTCTGTCCCCTTGCGTAACGTGTCAGCGCAGCACTGCTGCTGAAAAGGCAGATTCTGACTCAAAAGTGACTTTTAGTCACCGGTACCGTCGTAACGGCATTCGCTTGATCACTCGGGTTTAACCAGCTGCATCCTAGGCAGGAAGGACGCGCCGTGCAGCAAGGTGTTTGACTCAGCCCCCAAGAAGAGCCCCTGCTTTTTCCGATGGGTGCTGTCATGCACAACGGCACAAGCCACCCACAACCTGTGCTACAAACCTCATGTCTTACAGTCATCAGATCAATAGTTTCTGGGGAAAAAAAAAGTAAAAACATTGGGGGTGGGGAAGGGACAACAGACAAAACACCCATTTGCCTTACTGCCAGAAACTCAGTGAAGTAATTACTACAAAGCCAATAACGCGTCCGCTCAGCAGCTCGCGGTGTAACACCCGGAGCTTTAACTGAAAACACTCTGGAGAAGCCTCTCCTGCCAGCGGCACCCTCTGCTCCGTCTGGGCTAACGACCCAGCGACGCTGTAAAACCCATAATCCTCCCTTTGATCCGCCCAGACAACCTCCCGTGTGGAGACAGTCTCCTTTAGGCTGTCACAAAGCCCGCGCTCTTTGCGATGGTGTTTTTCTGCCACGCGCCTCCTACCTAAAACAACCCCTTGGGCTCCTCGGTAGTAGCTGGGAGTCAGCGTTCTGAAGCGCTCATGCCCCGCCGTGTCCTACAGAGAGCAAGAGAACAAACACCACACACAAGCACAGCGCACACGTCGAATCAACTGCACTCGGGACAAAAAGGTGTCTCAAGCCACGCGAGGCGCCGTGCCGTCTTTCCTGGTCAGCCAGGATGCGTGAAGCCGTGAGACGGCACCATGAAGGGAGCGGGCAGAGAACGAGCGGCAGCAGCAGGAAAGGGATGAGGAGGGTAGAAAAGCACAGAGAAGACTCGACTGAAGGTTAAAGCAGAAGTCGCAGACACCTGTAACATGAGTGAGGCGACCGGAACGTCGCAGGACCCAAGAGTAACGCCCGAGCAGCCGCTGCTGTGTGCTCAGCACCAACCAGCTCAACTGACCGAGGGCAGGAGGAACTGCCTTCCAGCAAGAGACACTGCAGAAAGGGAGATGCACTGGGTCCAAAACTCCCCTTTGCTCCTCCACAGCAGGAGGATCCTGTTAGGAGGAACTACTCCAAGTCTGCCAAGACGGTAAGTCTAAAAGCAGTAGTTTCTTTCCATCATTGCTGCAGCGTCTCGGGCCTGCGAAAGGGTTCCTGAGCGCAGCAGGAACTGTGGCAGCCCCCAGCACAAACCACGGGGAGGCAGAAGCGGGATGCAAACCTACCTGTCACCCAAGCCAACGTATTTACGTATGGTTACCAAGGACCAACAGGTACATTTTTTACCTCTTTCTTCGAGAAACTCACTTGACAATATATGTACCCATTTTGGGTCATGGATACTGAGGAGGCTCCACCCCTTGGGTCAGGCACACGTGGGCACTAAAGCAGGAGCCTCTCCTCGACCTGGTTTTACTGTACACGTGTCAAGGTTTTCAACATCCCCCACGGCACTGGGTCTGTCCCAACAAGCAGTTTTCCCTATGCCGTCCGGCTGCTGCAGAAGCTCCTTCTCCAGCTGCGCAACCTGTGCCAGTTCTGGCCTGGCTTCCCCTTCCGCGGCGAGGAGACACCGTCCCTCGCAGCCGTCGGGGCCAACGTCTCGTTGTCACTCTCGGAAAAGCTTTGTCCCCGCACAGGATGTTCAAACGCCCACGCCTGCGCTGGCACAGGGAGGGCGAGCATCGCTCCTGCTCTGCGCACGAAGCGGGAGCGAGGAGCAGAAACAGCAACTCGGGTGGGCACCCTACTGCTCTAGTTCGCCCCAGCCCAGGGCTCGTCGGCGCCCTCCCGGTGCCTTTCCCAGGTGCTGGAAATAAGCGCCAGAAAGTTCAGGACAAACGCTCGAGTCTCCCAGCAAACCCGGACCAACCTTCCCAGCGGGGCGGTTTGGGTGGGGCTCTTCCATGACCTTAACCGAGACGGAGCTCCTGTTCCCGGTGCGGTCTCCTCCCGGAACCGCTGCGCATCCCTGGGGGACTCACCGCCCGGAACGGCTCTTCCCGGCGGTTCCCAGGCCACGGCCTGTCCCGGGGGGGCTGCTGGGGCAAAGCCGC